AAATACTTAAAATGTATTTTAAGTTTTTTGTCGCTTTGGTTTGAAAATCGATTGAAAAACGAGAGAACATTGTCTAGACGTTACAAATCATTAATTATTAAAATGATGTATGCCATCTCTATATATTGCAATTTAGTTATATGTGTATCCTTCATTTGGATTAAATGAGAGAATTGCAATCACTAGAGTGCGCCAAAAATTTTTCTTTTCCTTATGGACTTATTGATAACCGATCGTTTGACTGAAAAATTTTCCAGTATTATTTCAATGTAATAATTTAATGTAATTAATTAATAAACAAAATGATGTAAATGCAGTATTATAATCATTAATTATATAAAGAAATGACTTGAATACGTTATTAAGAAAAGTGAGAGGGAAATAAAGTGTCAGGCTGTCTCATGGTATGGTTTTGACAAAATCATCCTTCTGACAACTCGTTACTCAAATTAGTAACAAAATTATTATAAACGATAAAGATAAAACTGTTAAACAATGAATGAGATCTTATAATATAACGGCAATGATCGATTGCTTGAAAAATCCTATGTAACTTATTTCAACGTCATAATAAACAATATAGTTAAAAATTATAGTTATACGTACTTTAATTTGTTAGTAAAATAATTGAGCACTTGCATGCATGTGTGTTTGTGTGTTTGTGTGTTTGTGCGTGTTTGTGTTTGTGTGTGCGTGTGTGTGTGTCTATATTTCAGAAAATTGACAATGTACACTTGAAGAGATAATAAGAAAAAAATACGAATAGTTGTTGGAGAAAGAAATATCTATGTTGCACTAGTATGACTCATAGTTCAAGCTCTTAATTAACTTTTATTCATTTCCTATTGTTTTTGTCGGCAGAAAAAGTTCGTTCGGGATAACGAAATTGGAGACTCTCCCCACTCGCCCACCAAAAATGAAACCAAAATGTGAACTTCGTGGTGTAAAGCTTCGAGGATAAATTGTAGAGAGGAACAAATAAATTATGCACTTTCAACGCGAGCTTTTCTCAACACGCTGTCCTTTAGTTCCTTTTTATTCCTTTAGCGCAAACATCTCTCTTCCGAGCTTTTGCGTATTCAATGTGCGAGTTCTCGTTCGTATACAGTAGTAAGGGGTGGTGGGCCTCGAGGGAGGCCGGAAAAAGAAGAAGGAAAAAGTCCTGGAAAAAGAAGAAGGAAGGGGCGATATGTAGTGACGGAGAACGAAAAAGTTTTAAGACTCCTTTACCCATCTAACGGCGAGCGAGATGAACGGCCTTATTTTATCTTAAAAAGACCAAACACTTCGATCGATAATTCATGGGATTCGTATATGGTTTTTGTACGTTCAAGTAGTCTGATCGAATTTACGGCACCTTCGGTTAAGGTTAACCTTAATGCGCTGTTCGCGTTTGTTTTGCTGCGACTCGTAAATCCGATACGTTAAAGTAAATTAATTTTCCACTTCCTATTGAGCTTTCACGTTTTCATTAAGCCGTTTTATAAGAATTCCGTAAAAATAAAAAAATCATTGTTTAAATTGTCGAGTAAGTACGATAAAATACCGAATTAATTATGGATTTATTGATTGAATACGACTGAATATGGCAATTGACAAATAGTTTTGACTGCTCATACGATCGAATATTATTTTTTCACTATTATCGACAGCCTTGGTTGTTCCCATCATATTATCTTGTAAAGATTTTACTTTTTTAATTTGAAATTTTTTTTAAAATATTTTCGAATATAATTATTGCTAAAATGTGTGGAGTAAGTAACAGAGAAAATATGTGGAATTTAAAAATTCCGGAGCACGAAGATTCATACACTCGTGATATTTTCTAAGAATGTATAAGCAATTTTTTTGTTTGTAAGGATGAGTAATTCGTTAATAATGAATTTAATAAAAAGTAATGTATTTTCAACGTATACACGAATTGAAAAAATAGTGTGAATTTATTTTTAGCGTTAATCATACGTAATGCTCGATTACATTATTTGCTTGTGCATTCATAAATACTTGAAGAGTCTTTATTAAAGATATTAAAGATATGCAGAGCGCAGACTTGAAAAAGTTAGTTTGCGCGTGACTGGAGTTGTGTAAAATAGAATCTCGTACCTGGTCGATGCGATTATGAGAAATTACATATTAAGCTTATTTGTTAAAAATGTTCTTTATGGTAACGATATGCAATTACCTAATAAATGAGAGATTGTACAGTTTGGAATATCACATCTCAATGCAAATGTGATAAATTCTCGAGCAATTTTTCAAGTTTTTCCTTGGATCCTAATACTGCTAGAACCAATGCAACTTCATGTTTTCCCCAAACTTTGTAAAGCATAAACATATCTACAGCCGCGTATTGTAGATTGTCCTCCAGGAATATTAAATGCTTGTGATTAATACCTTTCAGTATATTTAATTTTTCCCTGCACAAAATATTATAATTCCATTCTCAATGACGAATGTTTTCCAATACGTTGATTTCCAAAGTACTCGTTTATTATTATATGTATCCGAAAAATACTCACCCACTACATTCCCACTTGTATAAAATTTTTGATTTTGTTCTATCCTGATCAGCATTGTTGTACAAACGCAATAAGGCACGGGCAATCTAAATGAAAAGTTTAATTCAAATATCATTCCGATATAATTATATTGGATGTTGTATATATATATATATATATAATTACCGATATCGATAGATTGCCTGTACTCTTTAAAAAGCCACAATTTGCAATGCAGTAGATTGTGTACGTTGACGATCCTCGAAGTTTTTTCGAACGTAAGGGCGTAGTTTTAGATTTACATCTTTTTTTAGCCTTTGAATTAGGTTTTTTTAATTTTGCCTTCCTTCTTGAAATGTGTTTACTAAAAATTTTTATATTTTTGATCTTTTATTTTACCCAATGCAGGACGGAAGGTTTAATTTATATAAATACAATTTTTTTAAGGTTTAATTTAAGATGAAATATTACATTTTATTTGCACAGACATTTTCTCGCTTACAGTACAATCGTTTCATATACTTTTTATAACCTTCATGACATTTCGCTTTTCTTTTCATTTTTTTCTTTATGACATGTCCGGAAATATAATATTGCCGTGTTACTGGATTTTTATGATAAACATAATCATTGTGGAAATATTAATTGACATTAAATTTCAAACTTAATTTTTAATTGAATAATGAATGCTACTTGAGTAATTGAAAACAAAGGAATACTCTCACTGAATCTATTACTTCTAATGCTTCTATCCTAAAATAAATTATTCTATGTTTATGCACGCGCTCACGCACGTACCTACACGCATGCACCTATGCGCATGCACCTATGCGCATGCACCTACATGTGCGTACCTACGCGCATGCACCTACATATACGTACTTATGCGAACGCACCTACACATACGGCGCCTACGCGCGCGCCCCTACGCGAGCGCACCTACGCCAATGTACCTATCCGAACTCACCTATCCGATTGCGCAAACACGAAAACATAGGTGTTTGTCGAACGGGCGGGGGGGGGGGGGACGAGGTATTATAAACAATTAGTGTGTACTAATAATGAAATAAACATGCATAAATGATAATAATGATAATAATAATTTTTAATTGTATTATTATTATTAATTTTTGTTATTAATTATTATTATTAATTATTATTATCGTCAGAAGCCGAAGATCGTTGATTAAACGGAGCATAAATTTAATTTCTAAGAATATTATAAACCATATACTCTCGTTAGGCGTAGGGGGAAAATGTCATCAAGAGATAATTAATTGGTTGCTATGGCGCCCGAAAGGTTCTTACCATGACACGATAACGACATTAACCGACATTAACCGACATTAACCGATCGTTGATAAATAAACAACGAATGAGGAGAGAAATAGCGCTCGCTCAACGATCCTCCTAGTTCTCCTTAATACCGAAAAAAGCAATTAATAGCGCTACCGGGCAACATTGAAAATATCAACAAAATATCTGTCTATCATATGCGCCGGGGTGATAAGCGGCAATTTCAGACAGCAAAATAGCTCCGTATCATCTGTATTCTGTACTGCATGTAGTGTTTTTCTTGTATTTTCTCCCGATGTGTAGGTTAGGACGGCTAAATTTACAATTGAGGTTTTTCATTGTGAAACCGTAATGATATGCAATTGCTTGGCGATTAGCGTGCCAAAGTGGTCTCGGCGATTACGGACAGCTTTTTAATAAAGATTTCGGGTGTTTGCGCGCGTTAATGGGATAGCACGAAAATATTGTGGATGCTCGCGTGGTAATTGGCAGATTGCTTTCAATGAGCGCTCTTTTGAATAGTCCAGTGAGGTAAACTGGTTTGTGTCCGGAGCATCGTGGAGGTGAGTCGATCGTAATAATTGGGATACGAGTGGAGAAAAAAGAAAAAAAACGGCGAATGATGGCTAATGCAGAGGCAGCTATGGGTCGTCAATCTGGTGAAAATACCAGCTGGAGGAAAAATATTATATCTCAGCTGCGCGACAGAAATAGAACCCAAACACAATGCTTCTACGATCTAATTAGTTTGCGTAAGTTATAAATAGAGTTGAGTTTCGAATGCTTGGCCATGAAAATTGGCATTTTTGAATGTAAGAAGCTTTACTTTAATGCTTCGATGTTAGATTATAAATGAGGATAAATCATGACATTATGGGGTGTGAGCGAAGGAGGAAGGATTTATTATTATTTCGTGGATTATGTTTGCAGATAATCGTTTGTTTGACAATGCCAATACGTTGCGAGGTGAAAAATTGCAATTGTCGATAGCAAACGAGAAACTACGTTGCGAAGTATCTAGTGGTATACCGAGCTCCGGTGCTAATGCGGCTCTCGAGGCAAAATTATTGGCCCAAGCCGATGAATTAACGATGCTACATAGAAGAAGAGGCGAGCATACTCAGCAGATTGTAGATTTGAATAATAAAGTGCAAGAGGTAATGAAGGCACTTCAAATAAAAGAATCGAGGTACTTTAATTTATGTTATTTTGCTCCTACTTTTGCATTGTTTTATTGATTTTACAAAAATTTTTGTACCGTATAATGATGCGTTTGCGTTTAGTTTGGCCGAAAGCATAGAGATGAATACTAATTTAAATTCAGAAATTAAAAGGTGCATTTCGAAGGAAAGAGAATTGGAAAATGTAAATCAAATGTTGAAAGACGAACATCAGGCCTTGCAACTTGCTTTCGCATCGCTCGAGGATAAGCTGAGAAAAGCACAAGTACATTGGTTACAATCCATTTATACAAATACCCTTCATACTTCTAATGACGATTATTACTATTATACAGGAAGAGAACCGACAATTGGTAGACCGCTTAATCAAGTATAAGGCGAAGGATGCTGAGAAAATGAATGAAGAGAACGATAATTTTTTAAAGTAAGTAATAAAATATGTAGACACGTTTTTAGAATCATAATAATTATGCAACATGGTTAGTGTTAATTATTAATGTTGCTGCTTTTCTGTAATTGCACGATGTACATAGCATATTAAGTTTAAATTGTTGAAAAAAATTAGAAAATTGAAATAGTAAGGCAGAGGATAAAAGTAATAAAATAGTTTTTGAATTTGCTAGATTTGTTGGATCGTTGTAATAAATTCTGTGTACAAATAATGTGTATCTGCATCTGTGCTCGCCTGTGTGTGAGCAAGTTTATATTTTCATACAATATAATATATATATATATATATATATATATATAAATATAAAAATTATATATTATATCTTATAACGATAAAGATGCATTTATATATATGGTTGTAGCAGATTTATAAAGTTTAGTTGAAAACTTATTCGCATGATTTAGTGCATTAACTTTTCAATGAATATTATTTCATATATTAATTTATCGAAAGGATTTACTTAATTCGTTAGTTTGCATTTTAATACAATAGTTATATATTTATTATACACTCGCTAACTTTTAACAAATATTGTCCTTTCTGCTCAATTTTCTCCATGTTCTGCTTAACGTTATTTTTTATTTATATTTTTATCTTTGGTACATTGCATCTGCTTAGCCCATTATTTCCTCTGTTAAACAATTTTCTTTATGTGAATAAATATATTGGTCTCTACTATAAAATAATATATTTCGCTTAATTTTCATCCACCACATCTAGTTTCCGTAGAGCTTGCCACTTAGCCACTTCACTTTGCTTGACATTTTCGTTTCAGTGAGAGTTTTACCAGCCCCACAGCCTTTTTGATGCATTCCATTTCAAAGTTTGGGTAAGTTACAAATAAGCAAACGAACATTGCTATGAAAAAGATCATTAGTTTCTAACATGAAATAGCTTTTGGGCTGGTAGCGAACATCAAGCTACTTAATAAATGTAAAACAGTTAAAATAGAGAAACAAAATTTTATGCGAATGTTGATATAAACAAGTGCTTACAAGTATAGATTTGAGTTTGTAATTATATAGATGAATTTTCTCTTAATGAAACAGGTAAAAGGCTGATGTGTGTATTAGTCGTAGTATTCTGGATTTTTACTGTATTCAAATTTTTGCATAGTTAATTTGAAATAATGTATTACTAAATTAGAATTTGTTTGTGTCATAACAGGATTAATTTTAATCAATTTAGCGAAAAAAAAAAAAAATGAAATAAAAATATGCATGAAAATTAGACTTTGCAATAACAGACCTTTGCTTTTTTTACAGGAGGCTACTATTTTTTCAAATTAAAGATTCAAATTAAAGATACGGACTTATCATGATGTATTTATTATACTTCATTTCTATATTTCAATTTGCAGAAAACGACAAGCCAAAATGCAAAAAGAATTAGAAGATGCGGCAAAAGACACTAGACCTGCTAGTCCCGATCGTATAAATTTAAAGGAAGGAACAGCCAATCTAACAATGTCGGTGCCTACAGAAGTCTCCATCAAATTTGTACGTTGATGTCTGCATAAATGACTTGTTACTTATACAATGTTCTAGGCAAAATTTTTACATAAACTCAGTTGTCAAAGAGCGTGAGCTGCTTATCTTAAACTTAAGCATCGTATTGCATCGAAATCCTAATACTTAATGCAAAAGTCAAGGAATCATTTATTTTAATACTCATTTACTAACAACAATTCAAAATAACTGCACTTGATTCCAGTTGAAAATCGTTTAATTTCAATTATATGCATTATCTAGCCGTGAAAATTTTTTCAATAATTATCCGGAATAAATTGCATAATTCCTATAGTTCGTATATTATCTTAATACGTTTATTGTTAATACTGAGAAGATATTTATTAAAGTTATATATTGGTTTATAACTATTTATTGAACTGCGTGATATGGTAGATGATAAGATAATATACGTTAATACCGTGCTATATTTTATTTATAAAGTTGTATATTAGCATAAATGATATATATATTTACATAATTTCATAGATTTCAATAAGATTTTTGGATCGAAGTGAAAATTATTATTATTATTATTAAGTTTGAGAAGTAGAATTTAAAATTTTATAGTATTTGAATTATTATAGTCTTTTAAAAGAATTCTTGTTAAAAATTATATCTCTGTAATATAATAATTATCTAATACATATATATATATATATATATATTTTTTTTTTTTTTACATTGATTTATTTCAATATACGATATTGCTTTTATACGTACAATTAATTAGAATAAAATTAGAGAATCAGTGTCAAGTATCTAGACTTTATAGCTTAAAAAGAAATGATAATTTCTAGATTCAATATTCATTGGTACTTTTAGAAATGAACTCATTTTTGTAGAGTTTTATTGAATAATTATGTATGTTAACATTGTTTGGCGCAAAAAGAGATTTAAGTCCGAATTTTTACAATTTTATGTTAATAGATAACAGTTTTCAATCATTAATAGTAATTTAATTATTAATGAGAATAGTACGTTAGACGTTCATAAAAATTTCAAACATTTTGATATGCAAATTTATAGAATGTAACTTATTCGAGTGATGAGCATTAACAATATTCTATAGTATAGATAGATATATAAAATTATATCTATAAAATTATAAAATATAGCTAATATATTTTTTAAATTTATATATCATGAACTTTTATAAAAAAAATTCAAATATTTTAATATATAATAGAATTTAATATACAAACAAAGAATTTAGAAAAAGGAAGTTTGATGTAAAATATTATATTTATTCGTATGGGTCACTGTCGGTCGGAAAACTACAAGAGCGTTTTGATTATTTTAAAATTTGTATTGTATTTATAATTGTTATAACAGTTATCATCTTTATAATTATATATATATTTCACTATGCCCGATTGATGAAAAATTATAGGTTAAAATAAGAAAATTTGATGCTGTTATACTGGCTAAATTAAATTCTTTTTATCATTTTATATATTAAGTATCTACAGGTACAGATTAGTTAAAACTTTTGACATTCTTTCATGGCATTTAAAAATTTATTTTTAAGAAATAAGAACTTATTCCTTTTGTCTTAGGATTACGTTTTCTATATATTGATGAGTATTGTCCGTCCAACGTTAAGTATTCAAACATTCCAATTCGGCATAGAAAATAATTTTTAATATTTCTATATCTTATAATATAGTAATCTATTGTTGTTACCGTAATTATAATATTAATTTTGATCTTTTTAGTTGAATATCCAAACTGGCTAAAACTACTAATGTATTTATGCAGTAAATTATTAATTATCACATCTTTATACAAGAAGTTGATAATTATAAGATTTATTATCAGTTAATTATTACGTTGTAAATTGACAACACTACGTATTTTCTAGTTAATCATGGTTTCTCAAATAAATATAACAATTATTGGATACTTTTTTTTTAATCGATAAACGATAACAAACCTTCTAGATAAAAATAGCCTAACGATTACTTTTGCAATAAAAGACGCAGATTTATGACCTTCTTGCTTTATCAGTTTTAAAAATTTAAAAAAAAAAATTATTAAAATGTGAATTTAAAAAAATGCGATAAAATATTTGATTTTTTCATAATTGTGACTGACACGACCTCTTAATAAAACGCTTACAAAAAGTATTTGTTCTTAAAACTATCTATTGTCTACAAATTTTTTCTTTTGAATTAAAAAACCTTTCGGTTAAATTAAGAATTCTATTGGAATTTAAAGTGTAAGTAAATATTTATCAAAAATGAACCGACAATCAAATAAAAATCTAAAATAATAGGATTTATAATATATTTCAACAAAGAATTTAATAAGACGCATTACATGCCAAATGCATTTTTTGATTTTATTTCTAATTTTTATTTTATTGCACTGACTTAATAACTTTACTCAATTTGACCGATTATTTATTATTATTTTCAACAGAAGAATCTATGCGTGACAAATGTTTTATTTTGCTAGTATATTTAACTATTCATCTTCGAAATTTTTATTGTAATATCTTTAAGACCAAATTGATTCTTTATATTATAATTTTAATTTTTTAATTCAAATTAATTGAAAATCATTTCTTCGTAAAAGCAGAATAATAATTCTTTTAAAAAAATGTATCGTTTTACGATGTCTTGTATAATATCATCATTAATGTGTATAACAAGTTTCATTGAAGATATTTTATAAATATAAAGAATATAATATGAATATAAAGAAGTACTGCACTGACAAAGCAATATCGAACTCAATGAAAGTTCACATAATGAACATTGATAGTCCGAAATTGTTATTTATAATAATAAATACGTTTTCAAGCTAGGATTCAATTACGAGATTTAATAAAATAATCATTAATTATTTATTATTAGGACATATGATAAACTGAAAAATGTAACCATAAATTTTGAAAAGATAAATTCCTGTACATAAACTAGTTTTTATAATTATAATAATGCAGATCGTAAATTCGGTTATATTAATAAAGATAAGAATTTTATGTGAGAGATAATTTTAAAATAACTTTTACTCTAAGTTATATAACAGAATTTGTTTTTAAAATTTCAGAAATCGATAGATGTAGTGCAAATAAATGATTTTAATGATTTGCTTATACAATATTTTTCTTAATAATCTCTCTCTATATAAATAAGTAGACGTGGTTAAAAAATACCGGTAGATTTTCATAAAAAAAAAAAAACTAAAATATATTTGTAATATTTATAGAGTTGTTTTTGGAAGCGTCATAAAATTATTATTTCAATGGAGTTTCATTCTTATAGTGTTGTAAGGTATCGCTAAATTGATGTTATTATGAAACAAATTGAACAATAATTTGATCTTTTATATTGAGTCTTCTCTAAATAATATTGATTTAAAGATAATGTAAAAAGAAATAGTCATATTTCACGTATAAAAATTATTATGTAATAATAAATATACATAATATTAAAAATTATTATGTAATAATAAATATGCATAATATTACAAATTATTATGTAATAATAAATATACAATGAAATGCCGACGTTGATTGTAGATAGTACGATTAATTAATTGCATCCTTCTTTTTTTTCTTTTATCATAGATAATTAAAAGTAGAAAGGAGTTTTATTTCTATAGAAATTTTTTTCTCTTCTAACGGGAGCGTATTACTTATTTATTGAATTACATTACTCTAATTTGTGCAAACAGATAGGCTTTTGAAAATATAAAAATTTTTTGTTAATTTTTTTATGTGTCTATATATATATATATATTATAATGAATATTTTAGAATAACAGCAAGAAAAACCTATTAAATGTAGTTGATCGAACAAAATATTATTCTATACGAGATTATTTCTAGTATGTCCGTAAAAATATCCAAAAATACTTTTAAATTTAAACTTTGTTACTAAGCTTTTATATATTACTTAATGTGTGTGCGCTTTTTATGTAGGGTTGAAAATAAAAATTTTTTCCATGCTATGATCGGTTTCGTATAATGTAGTATATGTTTATCTTATATTATACTACAATATCATATTTCTAATATAAATTTTGTCAGTAAAAAACAAAAAAAAAAAAAAAAAAAAAAAAAATAGATCTTATTTTATCGAAAAACATAGGTCAGATCTATTTTATTAGGGCTCATTCCATTCAACATCCAATTGGTGGCACGTACGAGTCTTTTTAACAGTGGAAAACAGCAGGGTCGTCCAAATGTTTGTAAGTGTAAAGGTTATTGCAACATGCGTCTATATAAAGTTGACCCGAGTGCGGTAACAAACATAAATCTTTAAATTGTTCGCTTACACTATTTTATACGATGTATGTTGCTGTCCGTATAATTTTAATGAAGTAAATTATAATAAAAAATATACGCGATAAATATTTTACGATACAGTTTTGTCAGTGTGGTAGTATCGTTATTACTTATTTGAAAAATTTTCTACTTTAAAATCGGATATTCAATCTGTTATTATGAATTTTAATTTATTTCAACATAACAAGCTAAATCAAGTATTCTTAACTTAAACAATAATAATGCTTTTAAAGTATTTATATTATTCTACTTTGCAGTGCTGATTTTCATTGGAAGCATTTAATTTGCTATTCAGACGAGTAATAAGTATCCGTTGGTGCGGACATCTTGTATATTCCGTAAATTTTTTTTTTTTTTTTAACGGCGATAACGCTTACAAATACCTATGCTTTAACAATGGCAAAATAGACATAAAAACTAGAAATAAAATGAATAATAGATTCAAGTAGACAGTTGGATTGAAAATTTTGCATATTGTCAATGGGTCTTAAATCTCTTTTGCAAATAAATTTTACACTCCTATCCAATTAAATAATAAAGTAGTAATCAAGTTAATGTACACGCGATTCGTCGAATTAGGTTCGATCTGGCAAGTTTTGCACACATCGTAATACATTAGTTTTTGGCATCAATCGATCGCGTACGAATATGAGGAATTTAACGCAACAAGTATATATATCTGCTCAACATACATAAATGTAAATGAAATATAACGCGCATGCAATTCAAAGTTTAAATTTGGTGCTTGAGCGACGTGTTCTAATGCGCCGAACTCAATCCATCAACGCGATGAGTTTTTCGACGTTAGAGAGAATCTCGTGAAAAGCCCGAATCGCATAAGGATTTTAATCTGCATGAGTAGTCAAAGTAATGCATTTCGAGATCTCGCGAACTGCCATCACTCCCCACCTCGTCTCACTGTTCCACTATTGCCCACTTGCAAGGGTATATTCAATGTGTGCATGGCTTTTGTAAAATTTTATTAGTTCCCATTTTCTCGAGGAAACGTTCCCACTCTCATACATCATATTCTGTCTCTGAATGTTTACCATGATGAATCGGTTGAATGTAATGAAACACCAACCCCGTTGCAGAACGCACACGAAGGCGAGGTGAACGCTGTCAGATGGTCGCCCACCGACAGAATTCTCGCTACTGGCGGCGCCGACAGGAAAGTCAAGTTGTGGGATATAACCAAAGGTAATTAATAACCATCTTACGCGTTATTGCGAGCACGTACAAGCATTCAGGGAGTATCGCTTTTCATATTCGAGTGGTTACGACCGCAACCGATTCAGAATGCAATCGAGATTTATTCCTCCTTTTAAATACTGAACCAACATACGAGAACTATTCTATTTGCACTACTGCTCCAATTTCAAGTTCAAACACATTCACTTTACGAGATTACGAGTAATGCGTTATGTCTATATTGAATTACATTTTAACTTGTGTGCGGACTGTTTCTTTAAATTAAAATAATTATACCTTGCGAGTACAAAAATGCAAATTTTCACTGACTCTCCGTTGGGATCTTTAAGCCATACAAGTTAAAAAGAGCAATAAGCATCGATTATGCATTTAATTAATCAAGACTATACAAGTAAATTCAATCCTTATCTCGTAACATTGACTTTTTTTTTTATCCCAGTATATTCCAAAAGAATCTGTCATTGATATGACATGCATTTATCCGTATTTCATTATAATTACCGCGTATTTTATCTGCTACCTACCGTTGTTTTGTGCGACGACTTATTTGAAATAAAACGACACTTAGTAACGGATATTATACCATAAGCAGTATCATTGCATCTTTCATTAACAATTACAAAATTGAAATTGTACGATTATGTTGACTGTGCATTTAGGCATCGTGCCAATTATTTTATTTATATACAAATTAGTTGTATTCGTTTTAGTGGGGGGGGGGGGGGGGGGGGGGGGGGGGGGGGGGGGGGGGTAGGTGGAACCTCCCATTAATACGTATCCTCTAGTTATAACTCTTGGTTGTTTTGAATTTATGTATTTTTTGAATTTTACAAAACAATAATTATCTCTTTTTAAATCATCAAACGCAAGAGGATGCGTTATTCAACTTGTTTACTGTATTCATAATTTTACTCGGAATTGCAAATTTTCCATCGCAACTACATACGATTCAATACGAGTTAAAAACAATGAAAACTGCTGCGCTGTTTTTTCTTTAGTCCACTCGTCTCGCTGCATAAAAGAAAATTTATGTTCAGCCAAGCGCAGCATGCAAGAACCTAAGAATTGCATTATCTTTCAAGTAGCGTCCAACATAATCAAAACAAGGGTTGAGAATTCAAAACTATATGAATGCCCTGATGTACACAAAATAAAAAAAAAAGAGATTCATTTGAGCTTCCTCATTATTTTCTTAATGCTTAATGAGATTTTGTTTATATTACAATAAGGAAGAGCGAACTCGTCGATTTTATGTTCGTAGGCACATCGATGCACAATTCTTGTATGCATTTATAATAATTTGATGTCCGAGTAACGATGTGTTCGCCACATTAACAACCTCTTTATAACTGCCTTTTCTATTCATTTTAATAATGCGTATTATAGCTGTAAAAATATCGATTGAGACCATTGTAATTAATAATATGGAATTTCATCATTCGTTATATCATTAATTTCTTTTTTTTTTTTTTTTTTTTTTTCCTGATTAATTGAAATCATAATCCTTAATTATCAATAATGCTGTACATAAATTGAATCGTAACACGTAAATTCAAATATTATAAATGAAGCATTTGAAATTAATTATTAAAAATTTTATTCCTTATAATTGTTTGCTAATTATGTTCTTCTAATGACCTTTCAATCCATCATCAATCATTCTATAATATCGAATTGGTCATTTTAACGAATTTAGTTGCATGTACAGACACATAGTCAATACATATATTCGAAGCTGCGCGTAGAATTTAGAAGAAGAACAAAAAAAAAAGGTCATAGGTAAAAATAATTTTTCAATTAAATATGTGACCAAATGTAACTGCTAACTTGAATTTTCAAGTTTTTGATTCTTTCTCAAGTGAGAAGATATCGTAAAGAATAGAAATGAATAATTATTAAATAAATTATACATATAAATTAATTAAAATGAATTTCAAAACGATTAACGCAATAACGCATACATTATCCTAATTTATCGTTTTTTATCGACATCGTATTTAAAGCAAATATAAACTTAGCAATAAAATTAACATTTATTCGAATAAAAATACATTTATTTTATAACAATTTTGCTTCAATATGCAAGTCGTACTATAATAATACTATTATATATACTAAATAAATTATTATTCTTCATAAAAATGTTTCATTAGACAAGTATGTTACTTGGCTTATCTATTTAAGAAGTAATGAAGTAAATAATGAAAAATTATTCGTATCTAACTTTTAAAAATTTAGTAAAATATTTCATATGAATAATATTTCTCAATTAAAGACTGAATAAGAAAAATATTACTTATTTATTAATCTGTAAGATTTTCTATTTTTACATTAGTAAGTTTCATGTTTCATGTTACTAAATATTGTAAATGAAATATACTCAACAGATTAATAAAAGGAAAGATTACATTTACATTAATATATAATTTTTATAATTCATACGATGATTTTTCATTTATTTACTTCATTTTTCATTTATTTGCTTATTCATTTATTTTATTTATTGGTAAAAATGAAATGTTGTTTTATCATTTAATTTAGAAATAAATATTAATTTAAAATATTTGTTCAGTGAGGATGTCGAAAAATTTGATAAGGCACATCATAATTATGGTATTTCTATTACACTGTGAATAAAACTATAAGAATAACAAATTGACTTTCTTTATCAGTCCTACGTATCAATTACTAATAAAATAAAGTAATTTTTTAAATTGTAACGAAATATATTATCGCTGATACTTATAAATGTTTTGCATAGAGATGTGAAATTTATAATCTTATTATAAAGATATTACTTATTAAGATTTAAAATAGATTTGTATAAATTGTATTTTATAACAATTTAATGAAGCTCTGTCAGAGTAACATTACATATTTTAGGTTAATAATTTCATTTAAAGAAAAATATATAAAAATCATAATTATAGTGTAGAAAATTGTTTAAAAAAAAAAAAACAAAAAAAAACATAAAATTTAATAATTACATAATGATTCATTCGTAAAAAAGTTCAAAAGTAAATAAAATAAAAATTTTTTAGATTTTATTACAGTTATGAGAAACTATTAAGATGTCACTTTAAATCAATAGTACTAATGACAAGTACTATTTTATTATGGTAGTTTTTTGCGTTTATTTATTCAATTTTTTAACGAAGAAATTTCAATCATCAATTTCATTGTTTCGAATTTTCGATAATTTTTACTTAGATAAAGAATAAACTATGAACATATAACAATTTATTATTATTAGAATCATTGGGCTCTATATTATAATAAAGATTCGATGGGAAAATCTTCTGAAAAAAAAGAAAAGTTTTATGCGATGAATATAATGGCGACTATTTCAAATATTCAGTAAATAAAATAAATAAAACGTGTGCCTTATCAGTTTTATGGTGTATTGATTATGCGGAGAGATACACACCAAAAATGATCTAACGAACAAAAATTTTAACTAGAATCTTTGAAAGGCTTAATGAATACGAGCTCATGCGCAGTATTTTGATTTTATTATCTTTTCCATTTTAACATATACATTGTTATTTATAATACGGCTATTGTATGTTCAATAAATAATGAATTGAAAAGAAATTTGATTTCAATTTTTTCTTATATTTTGGAAATCCTACCTTTCAACTTGATATTAAGACGGATGTCATTAAATTTTTATTTATTGAACATATTTTTGAACAAATATTTATATCTTCATTTATATACCGAACGTCTTTATTTCAACTTCATATTTTATTATGCGATGAATTTCGTGGTAAGAGCAAACTGGATTATCATAGAATATTATTATTGTTCAATGTAAAGTAGAAGAAAATTGAATAAATTTCTGCACATTAATAATACTCCGAAGAATCATAATTTCTCTTTCAATAAATATTTCACTTTATTTGAATTATCAGTGAAACATATTAACATTAAATACAGTTCCACTTAATCTTATCATAACAAAATAAACGATAATGATTATTTATTTTTTATGACAATTAGTTATTAAATTGAAATATATTATTATAGTCAATATTATCCGAATAGCATAAGTATCAATTTTTACTTATATTGAATAATTTTCTATTCCCAGTTGTATTATGCGCTTTTTCTTTTCCGTGGATGTGCCATTTACGTAAATTGGATCTTATAATAATAATAATTTAATTTTGGATAATATTTTAAAATATGTGCACTATAAATTATGAAATATAATTGCATAAATCTTAATCTTATTAATCAATATTTTGCAATTAAGGTTTCGCTAATCAATTACTGTTATATTAGATTTAAAATTCAATTAAATATTATTTACAATTCAAATATATACCTTTCTACTTTTCTCGATTCTCCTTTCGTCTTTTACTCGTGCTCATTAGCAAAGTCCATTTACGCGATAGTGTACCTAATCTCTCTCTATCTCTCTCACTCACTCTATATATATGTATCTCTACATCCCTGTATACATGCATGCTGATATGTATGTACATAGCCTCACGTATGCGTCAGTTTGTGTGCGAACTCACTGGAGGGTTTACGAACAATTGACAGAAAGTATACGGGGCGAGTTCTCGAGGATAAAAGCTCGTCCGCTCTCGTAGAAGTGCTTGTAAAATGTTTCTCCGTCCTTGTAGGTACATAAACGAGTGCCTTCTTTGGACAATGACGTTCATCTGTCTGACTTTCTCTCTCTCTCTCTCTCTCTCTCCCTCTTTCTCGCGCGCGCGCACGCACACACACACACACGCGCACACACACACACACACACACACACACACACAGAGGGAGAGAGAGGCACGTTCTATTTTGTAGAAGATTCAAGCCTTCACTACTGAGTTTTAAGTTATCTAATGCGTCTTTTCTATCTGCCTACATTTTTCCCAAGACTTAATCTATTTCTTCTTTTTTCAGTCTCCACTTTACGCGATGTTTCTTATGCAATGTTTGTATACCAAAGCTTGTTCGTCGGAAACGTTTTATTAATAATTATTAATCAACAGGCTTATGCATATATCATTGTATTTATTTCCAAATAAGCGTATATCAACTATTACTAA